CCGGATAGATGAGGTAGCCAGGTCCTTGGGAGTCTAGCCACTCATAGCCCACCTCTATTCTTCTCTCAGCTACCTCTACCCTGATGGCAAGAGCCACAACCCAGACCTGACTGAGCTATGCGAGGCAGAACCCTACCAGCGCATTGTCGTGTCGGAGGTGAGGCTGCTTCCCACTTCCTGCCTGCTCCTAGCCCTAACCTGCCTCAGCTCTGAGATCTTGAAAGATAGTGTTGGCTTGGGGCTATGTGACCTCGAGACAATCCTGGCTTCTCTGAGGCTAAGAGAAGGTTCTTCCCCAGGGAGCCATAGCCTCTGCAGCCTCCTTCCCAGGGGTGTTTCTTGGATATGAAATAAAGAGAAGAGCTTCTGAGATCATCAAAACAGCTGATGCAGTTGAGTGTTTATCAGCTCTGAGTCTGAACAGACACCCGGCAGCAGCAGGAGAAGAGCCAAGATGTTTTTCTTTTAGTGTTTAGGATGGAACCCAGGAACTTGTGCATGCTAGGCAGGGGCTCTAACCACTGAGCCTCGCCCCCAGCCCCTCACTGGGGGATTCTAGGCAGGGGCTCTACCACTGAGCCTCGCCCCCAGCCCCTCACTGGGGTTTTCTAGGCAGGGGCTCTACCGCTGAGCCACGCCCCCAGCCCCTCACTGGGGAATTCTAGGCAGGGGCTCTACCACTGAGCCACGCCCCCAGCCCCCCACTGGGGGCCTGGGGTATTCTAGGCAGGGGCTCAACCACTGAGCCACGCCCCCAGCCCCTCACTGGGGGATTCTACCGCTGAGCCACACCCCTATACTTGTTTGTTTGAGACAAGGATTTTTTGTTTTGTTTTGTTTTTATGTAGCCCTGGCTGTCCCAGAACTCACTCTGTAGACCAGGCTGACCTCAAACTTACAACGATTTGCCTGACAATAACTTATTGACTATAATGCCAGGGTGGGGCATTAACAGATGTACTAGTCAAAGGCACTACAGCCAAGCCTGAGGGCCTGAGTTCAGTTCCTAGAGTCCATGGTTGAAGGAAAGAACAGAGTTCCTGCTGGTTGTCCTCTGACTTCCACATGGCCAAAGACATGAGTGTCCACAGAGTACTACTAACAGTTTAGGTCTTGGTTCATTTGCCACCTATGGTGGTTGTTATTATTAGTAGTAAATATTATTTTAAGAACAGGTCTCTCTATGTAGACCTGGCTGTTCTTGAACTTGTTATGTAGTGGTCTACCAGGCTGTCCTCAAACTCTCAAAATCCTGCCTCCTGAATGCTGGAATTAAAGGTGTGCACCACCATGCCTGGTCCTTAGGTTTTTGGTACAAGGTCTTTCTGTGTAGCTAGTGCTGGCCTGGAGATCCCAATCCTCCTGCCTTAGCTCTGAAGGCCTTTAACATCACTTTTTAAAAAAATTGTATTTATTTATTATGTATACAACATTCTGCTTCCATGTCTATCTGCACACCAGAAGAGGGCACCAGATCTCATTACAGATGGTTGTGAGCCACCATGTGGTTGCTGGGAATTGAACTCAGGACCTCTGGAAGAGCAGCCATCTCTCCAGCCCAAGACTACCTCTTATAGACCTGGCTGGTCTCAAACTCACAGAGATCCACCTGCCTCTGCCTCCCAAGCGCTGGGACTAAAGGGGTGTGCCACCACTGCCCAGCCTAAATATATTTTTAAAATATTTATTTTTATTATTTAAAAATTATTTTATGTGTATGAGTGTTTGCCTGTATGGTATGTATATGTACCATCTGTGTGTGGTGTCCACAGAAGCCAGAAGAGAGGGTTGAATCCTTACAGACAGTTGGGTTCATTTCTCCAGCTCCTACTTTTACTTAATTATGTGTATCTGTCTGCCTGTGGGTTTATACTTGTGAGTGCAGGTGCCCTCGAAGGCCAGAGGCATCAGATGTCCCTGGAGCTGGAGTTACAGGTATATTGGGGAACCTGCTTTGGATGGTCAGCAAGAGCAGCATAGGCTCCTAACTGCTGAGCCGTCTCTCCAGCCCCTTCTTCACACTCCATTTGCTGTCCATCTGAAACCCAAGTGGAATGGGGCGTGCCGCATTTGCTTAATCTAGTAGTTCTGGGGCTGGAGAGGTGGCTCGGGGACTACGAGAATTCACTGTTCTCACAGGGGACCCAGGTTTGGTTCCCAGCACCCACTTTACAGATTCACACCTGCAACTCCAGTCCAGGGGATTCAATGCCCTCCTCTGCCATCCAAGGGCACCAGGCACACAAGTAATACACAGACAAATATAAGCATGCAGTCTTTCACACATACACATGGGATTTAAAAAAAAAATCTTTTTTTTTTTTTCCGGTGTTTCAAGAGAGGGTTTCTCTATTTAGCCCTGGCTGTCCTGGAACTCTCTCTGTAGACCAGGCTGGCCTCAAACTCACAGAGATCCACCTGCCTCTGCTTCCCGAGTGCTGGCATTAAAGGTGTGCGCCACCACTGCCTGACTAAACAAAAGGATCTTTAAAAAATAAATAGCTAAAAAGCTAGCATTCCCAAGTAAAGACAAGTCCAGAAAATGAGTGCCTTGCCTGGGGTTGAAGACATGCTTGGCTTGGTGGTGACATGTGGCTGTAATTCCACTGCCTGGTAGGCTCAGGCCTGCCTGTTGCAGGCAGGAAAGACAAAGGTGGCATGGTCGCCTGTGAGGGCCTTAGGCACACTGGCCCACCTGGTTGGTGTGCTTTCTGTGAGGATTTTATTTTGTTGTTGCTTGGTTTGGCTTGATTTGGTTCGGAGACCAAGTTTCATGAAGCCCAGGCTGGGTGAAAGTTTCAGAAGCCCAGGTGACCTTGGACTTCTGCGCGTCCTGCCTGTACCTCCCCCCCAGGGCTGGAGCTGGGCATGGAACACAGGGCTGTCTCTACATCAAGCCAACACTCCCAACCATGCTCTATCCTCGGCTCAGCCTTGGACTTGGGACGCTGTTCAGGCCAGCACAGATGTTGGGGACCTTCCTCCATGCCTCCCTCCCCCATCCATTTAACCCCACCCGGTCCCCCAGGAGCAACTGCAGCTCTACGAGGCCATGAACTCCACATTCGAACTTTGCAAGATCTGCACCGAGAGGGACAAAGACGTGAGGATCCAGCCTTGCGGGCACCTTCTCTGCAACCACTGCCTGACTGCCTGGCAGGTGGGGCCGCCGTCTGCTTTCTTCCCGCCCCCAATTCCTCCCCTTAAAAGCCCAATCCTGACCTCCCTGGGGCCTCCTTGAGCGTATGAGGAAGCTAAGATGAGAAGCCTGTGGACCCATCTCACCCCGAGTCCCGGCCTCCGTTTCTCCCTGAGCAGCTACCTAATGGGTTTTAGAAAGGGCTCCTTTCTCCCTTGCAACAGGCTCTGTGGAGTCAATAGCTTTTCCTTATTGGACCGTGACCTCAGCCTCTAAAGGCTAGAACGAAATATTCCATCCTCAGTGGTGCAGCCAGGGCTCCTTCGAAGACCTCACAAATAGCCATGCTGGACTAGGCCCTGGCCTGAGAGTCCCCCCTGGATTCAGAGCGGCCCAAGCCCATCCCAACCCTCTCCCCACCACACATTCCAGAGCTGGGCTCTCTCCAGCCTTCCCTCCCTACATCACTTTGTTGGGGGTGGGTTTGAAGTCAGAAGGGACAGGGCAGGAGACGACAGGGTAATTGACACCTTCCTTCTTTGTCCCCAGCAGTCGGACAGCCAGACCTGTCCCTTCTGCCGTTGTCAGATCAAAGGCTTCGAGGCTGTGAGTATCTGTCAGGCACAAGAGAGGTCAGCAGAGGTCAGGACCACTGCAGAGGACTCAAGGGACAACTATCACCAGAAGACAGCACAATGGGAGCTGGAGCCACAGGTGAGCCGGGCCAGGCAGGACCTGGAATCACTGTTCTAGTGTCTGATGGAAGAAGGCTTGGGGCTGGATCCCTGAGTCTGATGGAAGGGGGGGCTAAAGCCTGGATCCTTGTCTAAGGGACGGGGCTGGGACCCGGACTCTGTGTGTGAGAGAGGAGGGTCTAGAACAGGACCCTTAGATGCTGAAGCTGGGAGTGTCTGCCCACCTACGTCAGACCTGGCTTCCCCTGGCAGTGTGGCCTCAGGGTGAGACCCTGCACCTGCACCTTGTGCAGTGCCTCCTGCTGGCCACTTGTGAAAGCACGTGTAGGTGTGAAGAAAACAGCCTCCACTCCATCTCCTCTGTCTCCTTCAGGTGACTCCCTCTGGGCCTCCACTGCCCCCTGAAGATCCATCCCCTAGGACATCCCAAGACAAAGGCTGGCTGACAGTGGTGAGTGAGACCTGAAGTGGGTGTGGCTGGGGTCTCCCTTCACCCCCTTGTGGCCACAGCCTGGGGTCACAGGGATGGGCTGACTGTCAGCACCCCCCCACACACACACTTCCTCTATTTTATTTCTTATTTTAAAATACTTTATGTGGATGAGTGTTTTTGGCTGCATGTCTTTCGGTGCCTGCGGAAGCCGGGTCCCCCTGGAACTAGAGCTCCAGTTCCAGATGGTTTCGAGCCGCCGTGTGGGAGCTGGGAATTGAACCTGGGTCCTCTGCAAGGGCGGCCAGTGCTCTTAATGCTGAGCCATCTCTCCAGCCCTATTTTATTTTATTTTATTTTTGTTTTATTTTATTTTCTTCTCCTCTTCCAACTCTATTTCCTCCTCGCCACCCCCCTCCTCCTTCTCCTCCCTCAGGCTCTTAGTGTGACGTCATCCATGCTGGCTTAAACTCACCATCTTCCTGCCTCAGCCTCCTTGAGTGCTGACACACCCCTCAGCCCA